GTACAGTAAAGTGCCTTGGACTGGCGCGAGCTGTGTGCGGGTGCAGCAACTGCAAGGCTAGCAGTGCTTGGTAACCCTACAGTAAAGTCCGTGGAAGTGGCTTAAACTGTGTTGGGCGCAGCAGCTGCGACGCAGAAGTGCCTCGCAAGGCTTCTCAGTCTACAGTACAGTAACGTGCCTAGAACTGGCGCGAGCTGTGTTCCGTCACGTGTGAACGCAGAAGTGCCCTCGGAAAGGCTCTACAGTCAAGTGCCTGGCAGTGGCGCAACTGTGTTCGCCGTTTGTACTGTAACTTCTGTGTGGCCGTTACACGCAAAAAGTACAGTCTCATAGTATTGTGTTCAAAAATCAGAGCAATATGCATCCGAAGATTCTTTCAAGCTTCTGAGTGCGGAGATGCCAACTACGTTGCATGTCTATGCATGTGTGTGTGTGTGTGTCCGTCTTTGCCTTTAGCGTGTGCGTGTGTCTGCTGCTTTGTGCTCTTCGTGGCTCACAATAGCTGTCCTCAGACGGCAGAGATGTGCCCGGACCCAAGCGTTCGGACGGCAGCAAGACATGAAACTCTGAATTCCAGTTACTTTGAAGCTTGTGCAAACTGGAGGCCTGTATCTTGAAATAACCGGCAAGCGACAGGCTCTGAGACGCGGACTCAGAAACGAATGCTCAGAAGTCCTACACTACATACATGTATTTCCGGGAGCGAGAGCAGTGCAAGTCGTCATCGCAAGCTTCGGACTGAGCCTGTGATTGAGGTTGCGATCAGCCCAAGAATCGAGCGGCCAGCAGCCACATGTGAAACAAGTGCGTGACTACAGAGTTGAGTTGCTCACCTGCTTGATTGCAATCCGTTTTGCCGCAAACGTAGGTCGGCTTTGTTTGCTGTTTGCCTGCACGGCGGCAGCAGATGTGATTCTGGAAGCCTTGTCTCAGTCCGAGACCTGTTTGCCCCCACAGTGAAAGCAGCAGATGTGACTCCGGAAGCCTTGTCTTCGTCCAAGACACTTGCCCCCCAAAGTGAAAGCAGCAGACGTGATTCAGGAAGCCTTCTCTTCGTCCGAGACTCTTGTTCCCAAATCCTCACTGTTTCCACGGTTTCAGGCTCATGTGAGAGCCAAATCTGGCGTTTTACAGTAGCGCGGCGCGCATTC